CAATCTTCTCTTTTAGAATTCCTAAAACAAATGTCACATTTCAAATTTCACATCATCAGTATTATAACTGGATTTATGGAACTTAAATACCATAGTGAAGTACGGGTAGCAGGCTAGTTATATCCTATGGGGACCATTATAGTCAATGGCCCCCATAGGGTATAATGGAGAATTGATCTGGGGCTCAGGGGGGAGGCTGTTTTTAAAGCCAAAGGCACCAAATTTGCAGCATAGCTGTTTGTCCCTCTCCTTAAGCCCCCCAAGATTTAAAAAAGATTGGACCAGGTGGTCCAATTCTATGAGCTCCCAAAGGTGCCCCCATCCTCCATTGCTTTCAATGGAGGGGAAAAGGGTATTTAAAGGGCTTACAGTTCCTTTAAACACATTCTCTAGCGGTGAGTTCACATAGAAGGCATTTAAAGGGACTGCGAGCCCTTTAAATTCAACTATCCATCAGCCCCCCAAATCCCAAATATTTTCGGGATTTTGGGGGCTTGGCAGTTTTGGATATCTGAACAATAGCCCAAACCTATATCTGGTGAAACAATATCCAGAAAATACTGTTAAGGTATTTTTCAAATATATTTTCAGCTTGGATTTAGCCAAATGCACACCCCTAACTCCAAACTGGTTTATGGTTTTTTGTAAACCTTAGCTTCTGGCTGTAGGGGAAAATCCTAACCACTGTTAAGAACAGTCACATAATAACACAGTGTTTGGAATTACACTCAAATGAATTCTCTTTGCTTTCAAAATTCTATTAAGGAACAGTTAATAAGGGGTGTGTGCTTTCACTACTGTGAAGTGGCTGTGAATTCAAGCAAAGGATGTCTCTGGTAGGGTTAGTTTATTTTTAAAAGTACTCAGATTTTATAAAAGATGCAGTAGGACCTCTGCTGGTTGCATGAAACCATTGTACTATACAAATGCAATTTGTCTGCTGCATAACATAGTATCTCTCTACTGAACACTGCATAAGTGACCTCCTTTCAAATAAACTGTTCATGAGCGACAAATATTTACTGGACTAACATTTAAAATCTCTCTTCCATAAGTTGGAAATGTCAGCAGACAAATATGCCACAAGCAACAGATTCACAAATGGAATTGGTCAGATAATATCACAAAACAATTCTTAATTGATGGGTACAACAGTCGCAAAGCAAAAATTTCCAAAGGAAGGACAGATTAATTTTATTAAAATGGGGTTTTTACTTGAATGGTTTATAACATGGTAAGACAGATACAAAATCAACTTCATTTTTAAAATGCTCTTGGCCAATTCTAGGGATGGGCATGAACTGGTTCACGAGCCAAAATCCTGGAGGGGATTTTTTTATTGCATTTTATATATAGACTACAAACTACAATGAAAAAAGGGAGGGGTACTACATTTAGGGAGAAAGTAAAGATAACCACTACTGACTAAAAACCCAAGAGAAGAGATCTTCAAAATAGCTTATATACTATACCATCCCTTTAAACGCTACATTCTATGAACTTAGTCAGTCATGCTTTTATAACTTTTAAATCTTAAATTCCCTCAGCATCTCCATGTCAAAACATCTTATTTATCAGAGTTCCATTCAGGGACTTTCAACCTTAATTTCTTCTTGTCTTGTCTCTTCCGCAGTTTGTAAGGACTTTTAGGAGCCGCTGCACCTTTCTCCGACAGAGAGTCCTCTCCAGAGGACCCCAAGTCCAGCTCGCTACTGGACTTACTGTCCTTTTCTTCTTTATCCACCTCCTCTAGCTCACCCCGCTGTGCTCTCAAAAAGTCTTGTGCTTTTGCCACAGAGTCAATCTTTTCTTTGTTTTCCTGGAGTTTAAAGGTCACGCCCTCTGGGTATAGCCACCTATAGCCAATTGCATTGGTCTGAATAAAAAGGATTAAATCTTTATACTTCTTTCTCCTTTGTCTTATTTCAAATGGAATATCTTTCAAAATCCGAATAGTCTTGTCCTCGATTCTCAAAGGTGTCCCCGCCGTCGCTCTCAGGATACAATCCCTTATGTGCCTCTTTGAGAATCTCACCATAATTTCCCCAGGCAGATTCTTCTTCTTTATGTATATGGAATAGGACCTGTAGACCACATCCATTTCGCTCATAAGATAGTCCGCCTTTAAATCTGTCACTGGGGCCAATGCTTCGCCCAGCATATGCTTCAGATTCTCTCCTTTGCTCTCTGGGACATCCTGGAAGCGAAGAACCAGATTTGCTTTTTCCATTTGTATTTGTAAAAGCTGTTCTTCTGTTGAGTTTTGCTTCTTTTCCAATTTATACACCTTTTTCTTTACCTTTTGTGTGGTGGCGTCAACCTCTTTCACTTTCACAACCGATGCTTGTGGAAGCCGCATTCCCTAAATATTTACCAGGCTCTTGGGTGGTTCAGGGCCAGCCATTTAAACCTAACAGCTGAGTGGGGTGGGGATCTGTTTGTGGTTATCAAATTTGCTGTAAATGGAGTCATCAATTATGCTTTGTTTGCTTCATACAGATTGTGTACATCTGTCCACTAGACTAGTTTAACATTTGTGTTTAATTATAATGTTGGCATATTGTAACTATTGTTGGAGTGTATGTAAGTATCCAGCATGTACAACTGTAAATAGATGAAACCAATCTAGATGACAGGTGTCAGTGTTAATTGACTGTCAGTAGAACAGGAATGAACAGGTTGGAACATGTCCTGAGCTGGAGTCTAGTCACAGTGACTCAGCAGCAATATGATTGGTTGTCAGATGTAAACCTTGTCTAGAAACAAGAGATGTCTGGGATTCAGTGAATACTTTTGAGATCAGCGTCCTACCAGTAATTGCATTATATTATTCCTGGTTCTGTGTATAGCATTTTATGAACTACTTTATAGAATATTTCCTAAGGAAGATTCGTTTTTTGAAATATTGTTGTTATAAAATCTGGAGATGACGTTGATGTATTTTTGTACAAGGGTTTTCTTATGATTTTATGGATTTGTTCATTGTTGCGTAGAGTTTATTGGCAACAATATATAGAAAATATTTTCTTTGTAAGTCTTGTTGACTATCTTGATTTGTGGGTCAGACTCTCACAACTGTTTTCTCAGTATTTGTTTCTTGATTTGCAAATCCCACAACTTCAAATTAACTCATTGAAAATGGAACTGGAACAGTTTAAATGCTTCCAAGGGCATGACATGAAACTACATGGAACAGTAACCTTGCTGAAAACTAAGCACATCTGAATCTGGTCAATGCCTAATGGCGGACCTTCTGGGAACCCTTACTTATGTTCAAAGCGAGGACCAAGGATTTCTTTCTGAGTTTTGATGTTCAGTTCCAAAACCTTCCGTCCTAGTGCATATGTTTTAAAGGGACAGAGTACTTTAAGCTCAATGAAGAAAAAGCAAGCGTAACAAGAGCAACAACATCTAGAAGTATATTTGATCCTCTGTTAATTCCCATGTGTTGCCGAAGGCTGGCTAGTTTTACAATATTAGCATGAGAAGGACACTAGGAATAATAATTATAATTATCATATGGCATTATATGTAGAATAGCCAGGAGAGCCTAAGATTGTCTGGCATCCAAGAAGGTTCTAGCTGTGTAGAATTATGCACCACTAAGTGGCAAGCTAGACTTGCTTTTAAAGCAAGAGGTGGTTTGCCTCTTGCTTGAGAGGTGGTTTGCCATTGCCTACCTCCATGTCACGACCCTGGAATTCCTTGGAGATCACCCTTCCAAATACTAGCCAAGTCCAACCCTGTTTAGCTTCTGAGATCTGAGGGATTGGGCTAACCTGGGCTATGCAGGTCAGAGCAGGACACTAGAAAACACACTGAGAGACCACAGAGAAGGGGGTCACTAAGGAAAGAAAGAAAAAGAGCATTTGTCAAATTTAGCTTTCCAAACATTCTTACAAGAACCAGAACAGAGAAAGGACATTTCTCTGTCTGTGGAAGTATGCTAAATGCAAAGGGCCACAAGCATCCCCAACACAGAGATCAAAACAGCACTGAAAACAGTTGGATTATATTCACAAGAAGGTCAGTTATCCAGAACAACTTAGCTCTTTTGAAGGACACATACACACCACAAAATTAAACAACCCAGATCTTGGAGATCACCCTTCCAAATACTAGCCAAGTCCAACCCTGTTTAGCTTCTGAGATCTGAGGGATTGGGCTAACCTGGGCTATGCAGGTCAGAGCAGGACACTAGAAAACACACTGAGAGACCACAGAGAAGGGGGTCACTAAGGAAAGAAAGGAAAAGAGCATTTGTCAACTTCAGCTTTCCAAAAATTCTTACAAGAACCAGAACTGAGAAAGGACATTTCTCTGTCTGTGGAAGTATCGAAATGCAAAGGGCCACAAGGATCCCCAACACAGAGAACAATCTAAACAGCACTGAAAACAGTTGGATTATATTCACAAGAAGGTCAGTTATCCAGAACAACTTAGCTGTTTTGAAGGACACATACACACCACAAAATTAAACAACCCAGATGACCATGATGGACAATTTCAAATTCTGTTCACCAAGAGCCTCAGCCAATCACTTTCAAGCTGTTCTTCTACTACCTGCTTCAGTTATAAATCTCCAAGTTCAGTGCGGTCCAGGTAGAGACCGGGTGGCAGAAATCACACCGTATCAGATTCTCGCGATCACTAGCCATAGCCAGGCGTAAAACCGCCGGTGAGGCGGCGCATGCTTTTCTTTCTCCCAGCTCTTTTGCCCATCAGGTGAGAGGGCGTGGTGTCGGGGAGGGACACGTTTCTACGGCCGTTTTAGCTTCCCAATCTGCTCCTGAACAAACCCCACATCCTCCACATTAACAACACCGGGGAACTCTGAACATACTCGATATTCACTTTCGTAACCGCTGTTTTTTCTCGAAATCAGGCATGTCCAAAATACTCGCAGAACGTGCAAGGAAGCGCTGTCAACCCTCGGCGCATGCCCAATAAGACCGGCTCCAAGCCCGCCTTCCTGCAGTCTAACCCGGAAGTCAAACGTTCTTCGGGTGCCGCTTTCTGAAGTGAATGAGTGGGAGGGCCGTTGCCCATCGAACGCGGGGCTGGCGCGCGCGCGGGGGGGAGGTTCCTGCGGGCGGAGGGCCTGAAGGCGCCGTGAGGTGAGATGGGCTGCCGGTGACGAGGGTTTCTCCTTCCCCGCCCCGCGGTGGCCTTTCTCTCGCCCGGCCATGGCGCCGATGGGGATCCGCCTGTCCCCGCTGGGGGTGGCCGTGTTCTGTTTGCTGGGGCTCGGCGTGCTCTACCACCTCTACTCGGGCTTTCTCGCCGGCCGCTTCGCCTTCTTCATGCTGGGCGGGCCAGCAGTCGAGTCGGGCAGTGTGGATCTGCGGGAGCTGCTGGCGGCCTCGGTCGTGGCGGCCGTCAAGGGTGGCGAGGAAGTGAAGCTGGTCCGGGAAGGGAACAACCTGAACGAGAAAGCCAAAGGCAAGACCCGCGAAGGGGCCGACGAGATGCTGACCTTCGGCGACCTCCATTCCAATCGCAAGATGTACTACTTGCTGAAGACGGCTTTCCCTGGCGTGCAGGTGCGTCGCTCTCTCTCTCTCTCAGTCTCTGATGTTAACCAGCACTGTAGTGTGGTGGCGGGGTCCATTTGGATCAGGGGCACCCACCCGGGTTCACATCTCCTCCTTCAGCAAGAAAGCACTTACAGGGAGGCTTAAGGCCAATTGCTTTCTGTCAGTCTGGCTCGCCTCACAGGGTTGTTTTGAGGGTCCAGGATCCCGTGCTCTGCCATGGGCTCCTTGGAGGAATGTAACATGTAAATGGCTTGTAAACAGGGGTGTAAGGAGAGTTATGGGTGTAATGTTCTGCAAGCACCTCAAGTTTTCTTCCCTTTTTCCTCCACATCTGATACAAAAGTAGTCGTGGGAAGATGCATTTTGTGCATGTTTAGAGTACTTTTGAGCTCTAGTACCAGAGGTCCTGGCTGAACTTTCTCTTCCCACTTGAGTACCTAACCTGTTCCTTGTAACCATCCTAAATTCCTAATCCTATTCAGAGGCCAATCAGGTGGTTCTTGTGTTATATTGTCAGCAATGAACTTTTAATAAAACTCTAAACTCAAAAGTTTGGACACTGTGCTGTTTATAATTATTCCATTGTGGCTGTTGTAGCATTATGGGACATAATAAGAAAATCCAATTGCTGCACCTTTAGACTGCTTTCAGTACTTTGATTGTATTTATGTGATCATTAAGGAAAACTGTGTATGACTAATGTAGCAATCCTGTTGAAATACGATTTACTAAGTTTATGTCTCACCTTATGTTGATGACAATAAAATGGCATGTATGAAAGGGGTAAAAAGCACAAAGAACACTTTCGACATAGCTAAAATAGAGGGACTGTTGTCATTCCAAAGACCAGTTAGCCAAGTCTTTAACTGATCTAAAGCTAAAAGAAAGAGTACCTGATAATATCCCTCATGCCCTCTGCTATCAAGTTTTCATGACAACATCAGAGTGGGAACATTCATGTGCATCAAATGTAAGCCATTCTTGTATGTATCCTATATATACAGTTGCCCTACATATTGGCACTTTCCAGCTCTCCCATTGTCTGTGCTGTGCACTCCATCAACTGTTGCTCCATCAACCGCCACTCAAGAGTACTCGTGTTCCATTGGCTGGGTGCTGGGTCCACTCTTCTCCCATGCCCACTGCCAACCTGGACACTCTTCCCTGACAGAATAAACTACCAAAACAAAACATCTCTCCTGATGAAGGCACTTCTCCTGCTTGGCTCCTGTGGGACTTTTCCCATCAGTGGCTGTTGCTAGGCAACCAAGCTTGGTTCTATCAGTAAAAAAGGCAGGGACAGAAGGCCCTTTCCAGGCCTTCGTGGGGAACTCATTGGGGCCAGTCCTGACTAGGGCACCCGCTCTAGGTTGGGAAATTCCTGGATATTTTGTGGTGGAGTCTACGGAAGACAGAATTTGGGGAGGGGAAGAGGCCTCAGTTGAATAGAATGCCATAAAGTCCATCCTCCAAAGCAGTTATGTTCTCCAGGGGGAGAGAGATCTATTGTCTGGAGTTCAGTTGTGATACCCGGTGATCTTCAGGCTCCACCTGGAGGTTGGCTACCCTAGGCGTAGCAGTTAGTACTTCAGAGCAGGGTCTGCCAGACCCAAGTTCTTGCTGTGGAAGTTGCGGGTGATTTCAGACCAGTCACAGACTTTCAGCCTACCCTATTATGTGTGGTTAGAAGTGATGTAGTTTTAAATTTCTTGTTGTTTCTTTCTCTCAAAGCTGCCACCAGGAATTTAATTCCCATCTTTAATTAACCTTTCCCACAGTATTGTGCCCAAACTCTAAGGCTCCTTCATTGTACTATGTGGTTCTGAGGATGAGAGTCTTACATTTTAAAACAACTTATGACTCTGTGTTAACAATAAACAAGATAAAATTTTATTGGTAAAAGAAGCGTATTAGTTACAAGATGTTTTGTTAAGTTGCTCAGTAAAATCTTTCCCGTTTTACTCAGGTCTCTGTCAGCTTTTCCCCTCACGCTCTTAAAATACTCTATTAGATTTTAAATATACCCTTAAGTATATTTCTTCCTCCTTTAGAATTTTAATGCCTTTCACAGCTTTTCTATATGATTCTAATTAGAAGAGTACTCTCAGACTCTGTGTAGATTGACCACAACTGACAGTTGCTGACTTCAGAGTTCTGACTTCAAACTGAACACTCTGCCTTCTCTCTCTTCACACACACACATCTCCTAGCTCCGCCCACACACTCTCAGTCACCAACCAATCACCTCACTCACTCATCTCTCTCTTTCACCCCCTTGTTCTTCTGACACTTGTTGTTGTTCAGTCGCACAGTCGAGTCCGACTCTTCGCGACCCCATGGACCATCTCCCGCCAGGCCCTCCTGTCTTCCGCCGTCCTCTGAAGTTGGCTCAATTTCATGTTCGTTGCATCAATGACACTGTCTAACCATCTCATCCTTTGCCGTCCCCGTCTTCTTTGACCAACCATTTAAAGAAACACACACATATAACTTGAATCATTACACTACCTCACAGAGTTGTTGTGCAGATCAAAAGGGGAAGAGGAGAATGATGTAAGTTACTTTGGTCTTCACTGCGGAGAAACACTGTACTTTTCCTAGGTAGAGGCTCTGGGAGGGGCGGGGAGATGGAAAGTTGAAGTCAGAGGGGAGATAAAGGTACGCCGATGGTTGGCTGGGAAAGAGATAGGGTTGCCACTTCCATGTTGGGAAATTCCTGGAGATTTGAGGGGTGGAGCCTGGAGAGGATGGAGTTTGAGGAGGGGTGGGTCCTCAGGCAGGTGCAATGCCATAGGCTCCATCCTCCAAACCAGCCATTTCCTCCTGGAGAACCATTGTTGCCAATCTCCAGGGGAGGGCTGGAGATCACTCCAAATTACAACTGCTCTTCAGATGGCAGAGATTAGTTCCCCTGGAGAAAACGGTAAGCCCTGTGTCATTATACCCTGCTGAGGTCACCACAGCAGATTGACGCTTGAGTGCCCAAGGCCATAGCCTCTTTCTAGAGCTCATTGTATTTATTTTCACAATGGGCCTTATTTCCACAACGGGCCTTATTCCTAGTTATCTATTTTTTTCCTGAAATACTGTAACACAGTGCTTAGGCTGTGGTGCTTCTGTATGTCTTATCTCTTCTTTTAATTGGAAGATGAAATCGTGACACAGATGTAAGAAGTGAATTCTGCATCTCCCTCTCCAAATACAGTGAAGTCAACCTTGACTGAAAATGTACTCCATAGTTTGGATTTCCTAATCCCTGATGTGTGGGCCTTATTGTGGTTATTCCATGGTGAGGTAAAGCAACATTTGTGTATGTTTAAAAGCTTTGTTTTATTACAGAAGAAAGTGAAGGCAAGTTACTAAAGCAGATTCCAGAGCTGAATTTTGGTTCATACTATCTTGTTCATATAGTTATGCAACACTTTTTTGTGTATGTGAACAGATCAAGTATGGGGAAGGGAAACACTCCTGTAACTGTTCCATGATATTCATGGCTTAAACTATTCAGTAAATCAATGTCTCAGTTAACTCGTGCCTTTTTCATTGCCACATAATTATGGTTTGTTGCAGTACCACATTCATAGCTGACAAAAAGTAATACCAAGTCCACTAGTAGGAGTTTGTGTGCTGGTTGAAGATAGTGGAATTTCCATGAAGCTAGACCTTATTTCCTCATATTAGAAAACATATATAGCATTGTACTGGGGATACTTTAATTGGGTTGACAGATGTTCAAAATTGTGAGAATTATCTCTTTGAGGGAATTCATTTTTTAGATATAAGTGTTCGAGACATAAATTAAAAATGGTGAATATGGAGCAAATGGTATTATGAAGTAAGTCCAAAAGGACAATAATCAAGTTTTTGACTGCCTTTGTAAAGAATATCTAGAAACAACATATTCTGGTATAATGCAACAAGTAGTTCAGTGTGTATGTTGCAGTACTAGAAAATGAAGCAATTGTCCAGTTCCTCTTTTCAGGTCTGAAAATTGTGGTTCACAACTGTCGTCAACTGTTTAATTGTGCAATTAATGTACAATAGTAGTCAAAAGTCACTCTGATTCTTAATAGCACCATGGTTTCTGGCAAATAATTTGAAATATTTGTGTGCTTGGAAAGATCAGATTCTTGCCTTTTAAAAGTATAACTGGCTGTGTGCATGTGTTTTATTTAGAATAATATGCCCATCAGACATAAATATGTTCTTGTAGGGAATAGCCCATTTGATTTCCTGTACTTTAATGTTAAACTTGGCTTTAGGTATATAGGACGCTGTCCATGGGAAATCCAGGCTCCTTGATTCCTACTTCTTCCTCTGCTGCTTCTGTGTTAAAGATTTCAAGAAATTTTGGATTGGAGGAGGGGATACTTTTTTCCTGATTCTTCAGAGAAAAGTACAAATTTTGAAAATTGGAATACCTACAACACTTATCAGAATTAAACTACTGCTTTTAGTTGAGCAACATAAAATATATCACAGCGTCAAGAATCTCCAGTCCAGGGGATCCTTGGTATGGTGGGCAGAGGCAAAATTACAAAGCAAACCTGGAGTGTGAATCCACACACGCCAGTGGGTAGCCTGCCACCAGCCTTTTTAGCTATCTCAACAATTAGAAGTCAAAGAGCAGACTTCTGGTCTTCCTGGGAATAAATAAGAAAGCTCTGCAAGGCTGGTCTCTTGCAGAATGAATTTTCACTAATGATTAACTGGTAGGTGGACATTCAAGTCTAAGGTACTGGAATTAGATTGTAGCGCCTGAAATACAGAACAACAAAAATATAATTAGTGTTTTATTAAAGAGTGCAAAAGTATGTAAAAGAACAAAGCAATTATTGACAAAACAAGAAAGCTACATGATAAAGTTCTAGCTACACAATACAACCTTAATTCATATTCACCAGGTGTTACTTTCTTGGATGAAGTTAGACAACGTCTTTGTCCAAAGAGGATTTGTCTGTGTATGCTAGGCAAGCGCCTGACCTATGACGATCATCTCTGGATAGCTAAGGTTGGCCGTTCCAGCTGCAGTTAACAACTAACAACAAAGAACAGAAATGTTCAACTTCTTAAAGTCTTAAGATTTAGACAGGCTAGGGCCCTTTTAGCCAATCCAAAACTCAGATTACCAAAGTTATCTTGACATGAGTTTGTGACAACAAATGGCTCCAGAGAGAAACACTTTTTATCATGGGATGCTTCCCATCAGCAATGTAAATCAAATCATCAAAGAAAGAATGAGGTGTGTGTTCAGTGAACAAATGGTGTGTCTCCTTTTGTCTCTGTTATTCAAATGCAGAAAGGCGACTTGCCAACTTTCCCATGTCAACAACCAAATCGTTTCCATTTGGTCCCCTTCAACCTTTTGGCAGGCCTATAGTTTAATAGAAAGCTTACCTAGGTTCAATCCAATATTTAATGAAAGAACAAGAAATTGACTAAAGGTCTAATTTATTGACATATAGCATATGAACTTTTACCATTTAATGTATTTATGGTATTTAAAGTATATATGTTTTTTGTTTTCTGTAAAAAAATTGCAGGTATATCCAATACTTTAGAAAGAATTGCAAACTGTACTCTATGCGATCTTATGTGTGGATCTGAGAGGTAGGAGATGAAAGCTGGGGGGTAGAAAGCATTCTGCAGTAAACAAAAGTGTATGAGAGACTACACAGTCACAGTAGGTGGCCATCTAGCCTCTGTTTGAAAACCTCCAAAGAAGGAGAACCCACCACCTTCCGAGGAAGCCTGTTCCACTGAAGAACTGCTCTAACTGTCAGGAAGTTCTTCCTAATATTTTGCCAAAAACTCTTCTTATTTAATTTCAACCCACTGGTTCTAGTCTGACCTTCTGGGACAACGGAAGACAACTCTGCACCATCTTCCATATGACAGCCCTTCAAGTACTTGAAGGTATTTATCATATCACCTCTCAGTCATCTCCTCTCCAGGCTAAACATACCCCACTCCTTCAGCCTTTCCTCATAGGTCTTGGTCTCCAGACCTCTCACCATCTTTGTTGGCCTCCTCTGGACAGGTTCTAGCTTGTCTATATCCTTCTTAAATTGTGGTGCCCAAAACTGAACACAGTACTCTAGGTGAGTTGTAATCAGAACAGAGTAAAGCAATACCATCACCTCGTGTGAACCGGACACTATACTTCTGTTGATACAGCCCAAAATCACTTTTGCCTTTTTAGCTACAGCACTGCTAACTCATGTTCAGTGTATGGTCTCCTAAGACCCCTAGATCCTTTTCACATATACTACTGCCAAGACAAATCTCCCCTATCATATAATGATGCATTTGATTTTTCCTACTTAAATGCAGAACTTTTCATTTATCTCCGTTGAAATTATTTTATTTGTTTTAACCCAGTTTTCCGGCCTGTCAAGATCAGTTTGTATCCTGACATTGTCTTCTGCCATATTTGCTACCACTCCAAATTTAGTATCATCTGCAGATTTAATAAGCATTCCCTTGTATATCTACAGTATGTATTGACAGAAATTTTCTAATACTGTGGACTGTTTTACATATTTTTTCATATTAGATGATTTGAGTAAAAGTTTGTTCATTTCATTCATTCCACATGGGGTGTGCATGACTACACACACACATCTAAATATCTCATGGGAACTTTTCAGATTTCCTCCAGACTCCATGCTACACACTTTGAGTGTGAGAAACATTGTCTGACAGTGTTGGGTTTTTTGTGTGTGTTCTCCCAAATTCCCCAATGTTTACAGGGATGAAGAAGAATGTTCTTTCTTCACCCTTCACATCTCTGTTCTATGTCTTACACTATATTCTCACTAGTTTGTAACTGCAATAGTAAACCCAACTTTTCATGAGGGCAATAGGGGGGTATTTACTTTAGATTAGTAGGGCTCTGGATTAACGTTTGGTGCATTACAATACTATTTCTAGCAGTAGTTTGAAATTTGGCAGAAATGGGAAGACGGAATTGGTGTGTTGGGGGGTTTGTTGTTGTTGTTCAGTCGCACAGTCGAGTCCGACTCTTTGCGACCCCATGGACCAGCTCCCGCCAGGCCCTCCTGTCTTCCGCCGTCCTCTGAAGTTGGCTCAATTTCATGTTCGTTGTATCGATGACACTGTCTAACCATCTCATCCTTTGCTCTGAGTAAAAGAGGAGAGCGCAAAAGTGAAGCTCAACATAAAAAAAACTAAGATCATGGCATCCGGCCCCATCACTCCTTGGCAAATAGAAGGGGAAGTCATGGAAGTAGTGACAGACTTCACGTTCCTGGGATCCCAGATCACCGCAGACTGTGACTGCAGCCATGAAATTAAAAGATGCCTGCTCCTTGGGAGGAAAGCGATGGCAAACCTAAACAGCATGATAAAACGTAGAGACATCACCCTGCCAACAAAAGTCCGCATGGTCAAAGCAATGGTATTCCCAGTAGTCATGTATGGCTGCAAGAGTTGGACTATAAGGAAGGCCGAGCGCCGAAGAATAGATTCTTTTGAACTATGGTGTTGGGGGGACAAGTGTGTAATTAAAACTGTTCACAAGGTCCTTTCAACTACTATAAGTCATTGTTATCATTAAAGGGTAAGCAGGTACAACATGTGGAAGAAGGTTTGTCTTGTGCTGCTCCTGTTAGTACATCTAGAGTCAGTGGTGTGGGAGTCTTGGGAGGTCTTAGGAAAAGAAAATCCTTTCTGCTGGTGGAAGCGCTTTCTGTCAATGGAAAACATAGATTGTGCCATGTTGTAAAGTAGGGAAGATTTTTATGACAAGGGGAAAAGTTCATCCTTTGTTTCACAGTGTTGATGAAACTTCATTGTGTCTTGGCTCTTCAAAGGTTTTCATGTGCTAGGTTGCAAGCAGAAGTTCCTGTGGAGAAATGGGAGTATTGCAGCAGTTTTATCTGTTGCTTGTTTGCTTAATTAGAACATCTCTCTTTCTTCCATTAGATAAACACAGAAGAACACGTAGATGCAGATGACCAGGAGAAAATTTTTTGGGATCACAGTATTCCTGAAGACATAAAGAGAAACATTCAATCAACACTGGTCCAAGCGGACAGTGTTACTGTATGGATTGATCCTCTGGATGCAACTCAAGAATATACAGGTGATAGTTTTCTTTCTTTTGACCTGCTGCTTTCTTTCTTTTGACCTGCTGCTTCTCTGTGTAGTTTCCCCTCATTCTTGTAAGGGAAAAAGCTGCTCCCTGTCAGAGCTGATGTAAACATTTTAATGGGCTTTTTACACTATTATTTTTTAATTATAAGCCATCTCATGCAAGGCTCTAAAGTGGTGACATAGGTAGTATGAAATATGAAGTAATTTTATTTTTTATATTATCAGAATTTCTCATGTTCTAAGTGTGAATTTGTTTACATTTCATATTGTTCTAAGGCAAAAATCTTAGTCCTATTTTTTGTTAACTTATAGCTCCCTTATCAGTTTTGTTTTGTTTTTGTTTGTTCTTTGTTTTTTTAAATGTCTAAAGATACTATGCAAGCTACTTACTACAAAATTGGTTGTATAAGATGAGTTTGGTTATTTTAGTAATGAAGTCCTATATACTTCTGAATATATTGTAGCTTAATTTCAGCAGGCCTTTAGAGTAAAGAAACTATATTTAGATTTCAGTTTTGGCAAGAAGATTAAGTTGTTGAACAAGAAAATTAACCTATTGTTAAATCAGTTGCTGCTGTTTTAATTGCATTCTGTTCAGTAAGTATGTCTGCTAAATAATCTACACTAGTTTATTTTCTGCATAGGATAAGTTAATAAAATGTTTACAGAAGCTAAATTTGAAGGTGAAAGAGTGCAGGATTGAATACTTAAAACAATAATTTTGGTGTCTTAACTTTAATCTCTTGTCAATTTACAGACTTCTGTTAAACTATATGTTGGTTGTAGCATAGTTCTTTGTTAAACAAGGACTGAAGGTACTTCAGTTCCCCATTCAGTCTTGCAACTCACTGGATGCCCTTGGACTAGGTCACTTTTTTGGTGCTACTTCGCATGGTTGTTAGGATAAAATGGAGCTCCTCAAAAGAAGGGTGGGATAGAATAAAAAACAACACGACCCACCAAATGGAATTTATTATTACCAACTAAATGACACATAATGAGGTGCAAACTTTTGAATTCTCTGCAACTCTTCTTTAGGCTGGATGTTACAATTTAAAGAAGAGAAAAAGGAAAAGAAAGATGCTAGGGCATGATGTAAAGTCCTGTTGCAGTCTACTTCTGCATTGTTCTCAGATATTAGATGCAAAGTTGATATGAAGCGACTCCCAGTTTTTTAATGAGCATAAAACAATCACATTCACAGGAAATACAAATAATACTGAATGACCCCGTATGCCTCTCTTCCTAGTGATAAATAAAGGCTGCGGTCACACAGAGCATTAGGCACGCTAGAGAGACAGAAGATAGGTGGATTTTCCGGGCGCGATCTCACCGCCACATCTGGGAAGCGTAGTGCTCCCGTGGCAAACCCGAGGCTTCCCGCCGAAGATGCGTAGTTAAAAACTAGTACCTCGGAGGTACTAGTTTCCGGTAACCGCGGGGCAAGGGCGGGCATCTGATCGCGTTTCCGGTGGTAGTTCTGGCGCCCGCCCGCCCATGCCCCCTCGTATAAAACGGGGCATGCGCACACTTTGGTGTCCGGGGAAAAAAGCACCCGTTTGCCACGCCGCTTCTTTGCCAAGGCGCAGGATTGTGGTGTGCTCGGCACCTCCCCCCTACCACGGGACCTCCACAGTACGTCTGCTGGCGCAACCATGCGTTATTTTGCCCCGGGGGCAAACAGCCACGCTCCCCCCCCCGCATTTTCCTGCCCATGTGCCCGCGGCCATAGTGTGGCAGTTTGGAATTATGCTTTGTCCTACATGTCTTTGCAGTATTAAAGATTTTTTTTCTACTTTCCTTTCAGAGAATCTTCTGCAGTATGTTACTACAATGGTGTGTGTAGCTGTAAATGGTAAACCGGTTATAGGAGTGATACACAAGCCATTCTTTGCATATACAGGTATGTGGCTTTCTTCAACTCTCAAAGCTGTGTTAGAGCTTTGGATGGATGAGGCTAAATCTGCAGGATTCCTCAAACAGCAGCAGGCAATAGGGATCAAGATCATGACTAAAAATCTTTCCCCTCCTTGCTCCTCTGCTCCACTCTCTTTAAAAAAAAATAGCCTGATGCAGAGTTTTTAGAAAATTTAAAGCTCACACACTTTGTTGTCATTTTGGTAGTCTTAATAGCAGGCCTTACATGGATTTTGGTTTTGCATGTGGCTGCCTGAAATTTCAGTGCCATACACAGTCGCTGTAGTTGCATTTGATTTGAATGGAGAGAACATAGCAACACAGAACCTTGTTGGAGCCCAGATAAGAGGTAAAAAGTTTACCTCCACATTGATGTCCATTCCATAATTGTTGCCCCTGCTGTTTCACCTACCTAGCCAGGTGTGCCATGGTTCAGTGAACCACAATTGGAATAAACTACGCCTCAAATTGTCCAGCAGGTTTTGTGAACAATGTTTTATTGTTTCTGATCTGTGCTGACCAGTGGAATGACTCATGTGCATACAGGTTGAAGGCAGATACCTGATTTTGTTAGGTATGTTTGAACATGTTCCTCTCCTCCCCTACCTTGTTGTTGTTTTACTATTGTTTCCTCTGAAAAGCTATGGGAAATATGAAGCAACGTTTGCACTGTTGCTTGGAGTATCATGAGGCTTATTTTGCTTTCCCAATATCCCAAGATATAAGGACTGTTCATCAAGCAGCCACTAGACAGTGAAACAGACAGATGCTACAGCAGGATCAGGCTTAACAAACTCTTTAACAGTCACTGCAGGATGGTGTTCAGTTTACTTGTTTCTTTCTATTTTAACTTATTTATTAAAATTATTTTAATAACACACAGCTGAATTCATGGCCTTTAATGGTGCATTGGGAGGCGGCGAAGAGCAGGCCTCCCATGCTGGGTGTGTCTTTCTTGAAAATCTGTCAAGTTCGGGAAGAAATTGCCTAATAAAATTCTTTACACTTCAGATTCAGAAGCTGCAGCCACCGTCAACCAAATGTAGTCCACAAACACCAACATACTAACAAAATGTGTACTTGTTTTACAGCCTGGGCAATGGTAGATGGTGGATCAAATGTTAAAGCACGTTCTTCCTACAATGAGCAAACTCCAACGATCATCGTATCCCGGTCTCATGCAGGGACAGTTAAGCAAGTTGCTTGGCAAACATTTGGAAATAAATCTGTGATCATTTCAGCGGGTGGATCAGGTTTGTCATCTTTGGTCTTTTTTGTTTCTTGCAACCATATCAAAAGTTGACATGAAGGTGGCAAAGAACAAAACTGGTTACACCTAGCAAATGTCAAAAGTAGTTAGAATCTCTGAGAGACAGGAAATTATATCTGTAGAGATATTGAAGCTTTGCAAAAGATAGTTAAGGCAGTGCTGATGTATTGGATGGAGATTTTAGACTGATTGAATAGGGGATCTTCACAGTACCATCTGGGGTGTGTAAAAAAAAGGGTATTTTTCAGATTCGGGTATATTGAACCCAAAAAGTATTGGTATTTATTGATATTCTTGAATTCCAGTATTGGTAGTGCAGGAAATTCACAAATACCTCCCCCCCCACACACACCCTCAGTGACCACTGTTCCATGCCCAGAAGATGTCAAAAGCCCTCTAGGATCCCCAGCCAGACAGGCCTGAGGAAAAACTGCTTCCTGACTCCAAAGTGGTGATAGCACTTCCCTGGGCATGTGAGAAAGGGCCACAAGAACTAAGCACTGATGCAGCCCTTCCTGCCTTCCCTCTCATAATCTGCCTAAGTTCATAGAATCAGCATTGCTGACAGATGGCCATCTAACCTCTGTTTGAAAACCTCCAAAGAAGGAGAGCCCACCACCTTCTGAGAAAGCCTGTTCCACTGAGGAACCACTCTAACTTTCAGGAAGTTCTTTTTAATGTTTAGCCGAAAACTGTTCTGATTTAATTTCACCATATATATTATAAAAGTACAAAATTTATTAGGGTGTACACATATTAAAATATATTCGGGTTAAA